ATTCATACAGCACTCTGCTACACACATATTCATAAAGCACTCTACCAAACACACATTCATACAGCACTCTACCACACATATTCATACAGTGCTCTACCAAACACACATTCATACAGCACTCTGATACACACACTTTCATGTAGCACCCTACCACACACATTCATACAGCACTCTTCTACACAGATTAATAAAGCACTCAACCACACACACATTCATAAAGCATTCTACCACACACAAATCCATAAAGCACACTACCACACACATTCATACAACACTCTGCTACACACAAATTCATACAGCAATTTAGCACACACATTCATACAACACTATACCACACACATTCCTACAACACTCTACCACACACATTTTTACAACACTCTACCACACACTTTCATACAGCATTCTATCACACTTTCTTACAAAACTCTACCACACACATTCACTCAGCACACTACCACACACATTCATACAGCACTCTACCACACATTCATACAGCACTCTACCACACACTTTCATACAGCACTCTACCACACACATTGTTTTCAACACTCTGCTACACACAAATTCATACAGCAATTTACCACACACATTCATAAAGCACTCTACCACACACACATTCATCCAGCATTCTATCACACACATTCATAAAGCACTCTACCACACACACATTCATAAAGCACTCTACCACACACATTCTTACAACAATCTACAACACACATTCATACATCACTCTACCATGCACACATTCATACAGCACTGTGCTTCACACATTCATACAACATTACCACACACACATTCATACAGCACTCTACCACACACATTCATACATCACTCTACCACGCACACATTCATACAGCACTCTACTACACACATTCATACAACAATCTACAACACACATTCATACATCACTCTACCATGCACACATTCATACAGCACTGTGCTTCACACATTCATACAACACTCTACCACACACTTTCATACAGCACTCTACCACACACATTTTTACAACACTCTACCACACACATTCTTACAACACTCTACCACACACTTTCATACAGCATTCTATCACACTTTCTTACAAAACTCTACCACACACATTCACTCAGCACACTACCACACACATTCATACAACACTCTACTACACACATTCATACAGCACTCTACCACACACTTTCATACAGCACTCTACCACACACATTGTTACAACACTCTGCTACACACAAATTAATACAGCAATTTACCACACACATTCATACAGCACTCTGCTACACACACTTTCATACATCACTCTACCATGCACACATTCATACAGCATTCTATCACACTTTCTTACAACACTCTACCACACACATTCACTCAGCACACTACCACACACATTCTTACAACACTCTACCACACACTTTCATACAGCACTCTACCACACATTCTTACAAAACTCTACCACACACATTCACTCAGCACACTACGACACACATTCATAGAAAAATCTACCACACACACATTCATGCAGCACTCTACTACACACTTTCATACAACACTCTACCACACATTTTCTTAAAACACTCTACCACACACATTCATACATCACTCTGCTACACACACATTCACTCAGCACACTACCACACACATCCACACAACACTCTACCACACACACATTCATACAGCACCCTTACCACACACTTTCATACAGCACTCTACCACACACTTTCATACTGCACTCTACCACACACATTCTTACAACACTCTACCACACACATTCATACAGCACTCTACCACACACATTCATA